ACGAATTTAGACGAACCTGACTGAAATTTTCGCGGATACTTCATATATTGATCATTTCTGCTATATATCACACGTCTTAACGTGCCGATTTGATTTCTTGAGCATAGAAATGTCTTTAAGCGAATGTGAATCGAACCTGATGCATTTCCCTTTTAAAAAATAAGGAAGGGTAATGGTTATTTCGCATAATATATCGCCGTCACAAATACAGACTATTGAACAGATGTTAAATGACTACTATAGCACAACAACCTAGAAGGAATACAGGATTTCGAAACCGGCAATGGATAGACTATGTATATTTATGAATTTAATATACAAACAATCTTTGGGATGTGACGTTGGAATATCTTATAATCTAAAAGTGACACCAAAACATATTCAGATGCAAGTTAAACATAATGTTAGCTTATCGTAAATACAGATCCCAAAGAAAGATGAACTCACAAAGACTATTGAACTGGCATTACACAACGCTTGTAATTGAACACCATAACATATACAGGTTAAAACCTTTAAACGCTAAAACCTTATACTGACCATGATGTGATATATATATATATGTATATAGGCTATTGAGCGTGCGAAGAAGTTATCGAAGCCCTGGGCTGTGGCCGAGTTGGAGCTGACGTTGCGCAACATAGATAGCACAATAGCAGAGCAAAGTGATTTAGGTATGTACGAACTATTCTTGAAAGTTTGGACAAAGGAGTTTCTTTTCGCAGCCTGAGCACTGATTGTGTGTAGATTATTGGTACGAGAAAAGAGTACGATTGTTTGTAGATGTTGAAAGTCTCTACGAATTTCAGAACGCACGCAGATGTGATTGTCCAGATAAGTATATGTAGACACTTGTGCATTTTTTTTTCTGTGTTTAGGCACATGAGGGTAAAGTTGTTCCCCTAGTCACAGAAAAATGTCCGACACAGGTATATTATATCAAGTAATTCACTTGCCTGGTAAATGTACATGATATTTATATGGTAGAATGCATTTGTTCTGATGTATATATGTGCATATGGATACTATGTATTCTAATGTGTCTGTTCTGTTGTGTCAATTTGTTTTGCATGGCGAACCAATAGCGATATTAGCGAATCTGTATGTATACTATGTAAATTTTAAGGAATTATATTCCAGTTTAGTATTGTAATAAAGTTATCATTGTGCAAAGAATATAGGACACGTCGACAGATTGTGTACGTTACTGTGTAAAACCACCCCCACCATTTCTGTTTACATGTATGCTAGTCCGACAGCCACTGTGTACAACTATAGGTTGCATACATAATATGCATCGAAACTGACTCAGTCTTCAGGGTTTACCTATACTTACATACATCATACTCTAAATATCTGGCACCGACTCAGTCCACAGATCAGGAAGATTCGCGAACCAATCACCGTATACACAGCGCAAACATAAAATCAACATAGCGCGCATTTTACATACACTTAATTCAGGCAACGATGCGAGCAAGCAGGGTTTTGTGACACACCACAACTGGATAGTGAACACGCCCATGGAAGTGGGATACGGTGACTGTGTGATGGGTAGGGCAGCCCTCGATAAGGCGCGCAATTACACCAATCCCTTCGGACTGTTTGTCACGGGCATCGATCGAGACGAGACTGCGGGAAATGACTGGGAGGGTGAGTATGTGGTGTAGGTAGGTGCATGCTTATCCAGACGTCAACCCAAATTCCGTGTGTGTGATACGTAGCTGGCGCCCTGCCGAAGGGGATTTTTTTATAAATATTATTCAAAGGGGTGTTAATGAAAAATGCTGATAGTACATGACATGACTGAAAATATTTGTCGTGAACTAGAAATAATAGCTCTCGAGATAGTTGCGTTCAGCTGCCACTTCACCAAAATAAATATATAAATGCGGCAAGTTTTTGTAAAACCCTCAAACCCTAAACCCTTGAACAATAGAATCCTGAAACCCTAAAACCCTAAAACTCGCTTATTTGGATTCTTGTACGACTAGAATCACGCTTTGCAAGTGTTTATCGTAAATAGGTGATTGGCTGTGAAAATGATGATGTACTATAAAGGGGCTCATGTACTATAAAGATGCTGATATCCTCATTCCAGCACCCGTACGAAGATAAAATACATACATATATATATATATATATATATACATTTACGGGTTTGAACGTGTTTCGAGAAATCCGATGAAACACTATCGATTCGCCAAATTCTATCATACGAAGGAACTTTTCTTTTATAGTACGACCATGAGTGTATAAGTATGTATACTCACATGCGTATCAACCAAAACATGTACACGCCAACATGCCTCCCCATGTTATTTACATGTCGCATGTTATCCCATACAGGTGTGGCGAGCACAAAAAGCTCGTTCTCGTACGAGGGTGCTGTGATGACTCTGGGTACGGGCGTTGTAGCGGTGGGGGAGAGTGTGTATGGTAGGCCGCAGAAGGCCATGGAATATTTGGAGATGCTAACACGCAGGTATAACCCCGCGATGTAGTACAATTCTTTGTGGTTCACTCCTGACTGTCAATGATGTTTTTGTGCACAATATGGTTGAGCCGCTAGCAGAGATGTGTATGCGTATTCCCTTGGTCACACACACAACATGGTTCATTTAGTGTATATCAAAGTAAACGACGGGAGTATACTCGGCATGACGGTCTGATGTGGGACGCGCAAATGGGAGCACACAATCTCTATCACAAAGATATTTTTATTTTGAACTTTAAAATTATTTGATCTCAAACCATTTGATCTTGAACCAATTGTTCTTCGACTATGTCCATCTCATGTAATTTATAGAAACATGACGATACCTGAATGCGAGATAAGCATAGGTGCTCACACACGCATGGGTTTACTATTTAGACAAACAGCCCTTGTAGCAGGATGTGAAAGGCACCATTTCATCCACATTTTATGTAGGACCTGCATAGTTTTTGATCGCATCATTCTACTACAATGTATAAATGGAGCTGTATGCGCTCACTCGTATCTGTGAACATGCAACATGTGCGTGTGATGGTCTGGTATGGCTCGTACGAGCCTGCTTGCGCTACTGCTTGGTCAAGAGGTAGTTAATATCTCAATTGTCCTACTCATTGTATCAAGGTGGCTTACGTTTAGCATGATTCCTGCGATGCACATACTGAACCTATAGCTATATCGCGGTGGATCGGTCAGTTTCTCACGCCTCACGATTCCCATATTTATCTTTGTTAACCTCAAATATTTCTTTTCTCGGAAACCATTTGCATGTGCTATCCAGTTTTAGCTTTGCCCTTCCTGGCAGCCAATACGAGGTCAGCCCCGATTTTGGAATGATGACTCAAGTATGTTCGTCTTTAAACAGAATTGCACGAGTATACAATGAGTTTTGATACAGTGAGTGGCATATTCAGATATAAATATAAACGTACGAGCATATCTCCTTGAGCATTGTATTTCCATATACAGGAACATATGTAACTAGTTTATTTAACCAATATATCATTTTGTTTAACAATCCGTATTTATCTATCAAATATACGCAACTAGTTTGGAGCGCTGGTGGATACGAGATTGCTATACGCATCTGTATTTGTATATGTACATGCATAAGTATATGCATATGTACGCAACTTGAAGTGTATCAGTCACCTCATCCGTTTGTTGGACATTTTCATATTTTCATATTTCTAAAAATACTGACACCATGTATTATTATATTTGATTTGGATGAAGGATACTAGCAATTCGATTTGCGTGAATATATGTAAATTCGTTGTAAACGTCATTTCACTGTATGTACTAGCAGTTCTGGATCGCTTTTTTTTGTTTAGTAAGTAAATGTATACACATATACATATATAGATACACATAGATACATACACACACACGCACACACACACACACACACACACACACACACACACACACAC